TAACGTTAAATTCGTTTTCACGCGTCGACTTGGCTATCCACCGTGTGACCTGAATATTCGAACATCTTATTAGTATACCATCCTAACTACACCAAACAGTGTAGAATCTTTTGAAAGTCATACGAAGATTTTCTGAAAAGTCGTAATGTGATAAAATTTCCTAAGAAATTTACACGAATATTTTTTTAAAACATGAATACGATTCTTTATATATAAGAATTACATATCGAATATAAATCCTAAGCAAATGTTTAATTTATAATTTATATGCAAATAAATTTATATATATAAATCTTAAGAAAATCTGTGAGCAGAGAAAGAAAATATTTTAGCACAGTTGAAAAGATACAGTTTTAATATTATGAGATTGAGATTGAAAAATTTTGTGCAACATATTGCATGTGATCTACGTTCTTTTTCTGTGATCTTCGTATTTGATATGTTTCTGCTGCTTGTAACACGAAGTACGACGACAACATCGAAAACAGATAAAGGGAGCGTAGACAAGAATCGAAGAAACGCCTGAGGATGTTTAACCTGGCTTGCATGTCGGTAAATGTTTGGCCCACGTGAAGCGCTCGCGGCAGTTTGCAGAGCGTTTCAATTAAGACGCGCGCAACGGTGAAATAAAATAATTCGATCGTCAATGAAATAGACAAACACGATGACAATGAACCCGCCGGACAGCCAGAATTACAAGGGGTTCTGTTCTTTGTATCTTTGAACTTTTGTGAGGTGCTAAGCACACACACTCTGCATAATAATAAAAGCACAGGATTGAACCTTCTATCGTAATTGATTTACAAATTAGCCAAATTAATTTATTATAATTTGATCCGTCAAAAACTCTTAAATAGTAAAAATATCGCCGTAGTAGACACTTGTTCATTGTAATCGAACGATATTTAAAAAATCGAATAAACTGACTTTATCGATTTGAAGATCACACATTGGAATATTCTCAAGAAACAAGGTTCAATCAGCTTGCTTTCGAGTGGCTCGATTGTCCGTTATCTTCTTCAAGAAGTTATTAAGTTCAAGTGTAATTATTTCGGTGATAACGATAATAAAATCGCGATAGAGGACGAGAAAATTATGCAATTTATGGAGATTTCACCCATTTGCGGTGATGACGTACACTCTGCTCGAGATAACGAATCTCTCGTATGTAGCTACAAACGAATTCATGCCCTACGACCGACAATAAACTGCATTATCTTGGATCCAGGCTACTCGCTGCACCCTAGCAACATCAAAGGGAAGAATTCGATCGAGGGAGACGATCGATAACGCAATAACCCTAAATACTCTACTTCGTGTGTAATTCTACGCTCGTCTAGAAACACTTTGTACTTCGTTCCTTTGATGCGGCATCGCACTTGCTATGCAGGCTCAATTCCTTTTATTTTTCCACGAACGACGATTCCGTTCTATACGTGACAGGTTTTATTTATGGAGTCTTCGCGGTGGAAGAAATTCGTCATCGTTTCGTTAACACTTTGAATATATAAATACGTATAATATATTCAGAAAGAAAACTAATTACAAATCATTTATTGACAATTAATTAATAATGAATTTTCCAATATCTTCTATTACAAAAAAATTCTTAAAACTTTCTGAATTGTTTGTAATTCTTAGAAAAATCCCTTCCCGTTATCGAAACATTATTAAACTACCTATAAAAATTTTACATTATTGAAATGTTATACAGCTACAAATTACAAATTAAAATCAACCGCTCGATTTCCTATGAAATTATCTCGACAGTGACAAATTCTCTGAAGAGTGCAACGTCTATTAAAAATTAGAGAGATACAAGGGATTATTTGAAAGTGCTTTAATCTTCCATGATAAAATTCTACGGTACGAAAAATTAGAAATTGAAATTAACCAATTGTTTTCCCATAAAATCGCGTAGACAATGGCGAACATTTGTAACCGCTGTGATCTCATGGTACCAAAAGGGTGCATTGAGGTAGATCGAAGGAGAAACAAAAAGGCCACATTAGAAACTGTTCTGAATCTCGTCCGGGTCGAATAATCAGATACCTTTTCCGGCGGTACCAGGTGAGCCTGTTGAAGCGAGTAACGCCTTTTGACGTTAACGCCAGACCTCTTGTGTGCCCGGCCACCATAAACGCAGACGACGCACGGCACAACGGCAGATCTTAATCTCCCGCCCGAGTTCCTGGTTACCGGGGGGCCATTACCATTATGTTTGCACTCTAACTATCACTCTATTGTCTTTCTTATCTAATGGAACATCGACAGGATTGCTTTCGTGACAACGGATTTGTTAACCCAGCGTGACCACCGCTTCGTTTCCTCGACTAACGCCTGTTTTTGCTTTGGTCAACGCTATCGACAGGATACGTTTTTATGGGAAAAAAATCTTTTTGCAATTGAAAACTGTGGGAGAAAATAATGTGGGAGGGGGGGAAGGGGGATTAGATTGCAGATTTATTATGTATTTATGGAAAATTTACAAAGGATGCAAAATTCCACGAAATGCATATAATGCGAAGTTTATGAAATATCCAAATAGCGTTTTTTACAATGTTCGATACATAAAGGAATTTTCTAGGTTCAATTTTTTGCACTTCTATCTTTTTTTTTTGGAACGTAATTTTAAAATTGTCAATGAATCCCAAAATTCTTCTTAATTAGATTTAGAATTAAATTTAATTATAATTTGTCTTTTGAATGTTTCGAAAAAGAAATGGAATTCAGATAGAAAATTATTTCGATTATTAAATTTCATAATGCAAATATTTCGGATATTTCATACGCTCTTCCATATTTGATTCTATACGTTTTGTATATCTTTAAGTACTCTATAAATATAATAATATCTATAAATATAAATATAATAATATCTATAAATATAATAGTCTGAAATGTTACAAAGTTGTATATAGAATATTGTACAATATCGTAGACATTGATTTCTCGCAAAAGTTTATAGATCTAACTTTAATTATCCCCGTTTCAACTATTTTATATTTAACATATATATATATATATATTAAGAAATATAAAGATTGGGAAACCAACGAAATAGAAAGATACAAAACCTAAAAATTAGGAAACAAACTCAACACATGTTTCTCTTACGATCTTAAATTAATTTGCGTGATAATCTGCGAGACAAAAGGAGCAGAATGGAAAATAATTCGGCCACGTTCGAAACTGTTCGTACACAGAGATTATCGCAGATGTCCGTCGAGCAGGACTAGGCACTTAAAAACGAAGTGGACCGGCTTGGCCCGGTGGCTGGGCAAAAGTAGTACAGTTGCCATTCGCGGTAAAATAATATCGAGGATGAAAAAAAGGCTGCACGCGCCATTGACCTTCTATGAACGTTACATCGGAACGAGGAACGGTTAAAATAGAGGGTGGCAAGCCTGTCGAGCCAGTGTACACAAATAAACATACAGAGGGAAATAATTTTTAGGAGGAGGGGGCTTGTCATATCTTTCAATTTCTCCTACACAGGCCACTTTGGAGAAGGCAAACTGATCAACTCCATCTTTTATTAATTTTTCAATTTCATTGCACGAATAGTATTGAGAAGGAGCAAATAAATTCATTCAATGCATGAAAAATGATACATGTAGAAAATTCTAAAATAAATGAAAAAGGTATCGTAATTTTTCTGTATTTTCTAATTTATGAAGTTGATCAATATTTCAATTATTTGAATGAGAAGAGAAAGCTAAAGTGACACTAACTTTTAGTGATTTGTAACATGTAGAAAAAGAATTAATCTGTGAATTAATCTTTATTTTACAGAGGGTGGTAATATTTCTTTCAATCTTAGCAAAGATACTCTTCATTCCTTTTCTATTAATAAAGGAGATAACGTTCAGATTACTGGTCTTGTATCATAGCTATCGTATCGCTCACTTTCTAAAGAGATAATGATCGTTCCTAGGAGGGAAAACGTAGACTATAATGCTTGAAGATTCTCTAGGGACAAAAGAGAACGAATCCTCGCCAACTATTCGAACAAAAGACTCTCTTAGCGGGGTATTCCCTAGAAACTGGTATGTGATTCACAGATCGATCAGCTACGCGTTTCCAATATAACAGATCACTGAAAATTTCATATAATTTACATTTTAGAGCTGCAAATCCTACATCTATCTACAATTAATGTACAAAACTTGACAAAAGTAATTGATCATTTGATTCATTGTCAGATATCCCAGCAACTGTAGGTCCAGCAACGTAAAACTTCTTGGAATAAAAAATTTAATTCAAAGTCATTTGTTTCCACGTTAACAACGATTTTCTAAAATTCCAAATCAAACCTTTCGACTTCGGTGATGTTTCACGATTTAAAAAATGAATCACGCGAGTGACGACATGGAGGACAAGCAGTCGTACACGCATCGGTACCTGTATCCCCTGCGTTTTGTCACCCCAGAAGCGTCTTTCCGGACGAACGCTTCGCCAAAATGAAAATCGTTCGCATGTGATAATGCGAGTGTCAGCCTGCCCCTTTCGAGATCATGAACTGTCGAAACGAGAAATGCTAATGAGCTTCTAATAGTTTTAATTCCATCCAACGCCCCACGTGGATATTGCAGCAAACTTCGAGAAAAAAAAAACCTAGTTGAACCTCGAGCAGGTTTTCTACTGCGAGTAGAAAACTAACAAAAAGGAGATTTTCGTGGGGAAGGTACTTTAACCCGCACGACAAAAAAATTACGCGCGAAAATCCCTAAGCCGAAGTTGCGCCAGGATCGGTGCATCTGTTTTTTTTTTTTCAGAAAACTGAAAAAAAACCTTCCGTTGTAACAGTTTTCAGACCAGCTGCAGGGAGAGATAGATCTACCTTTTTGGAAGACTGGTCTGACTTGTATTAATTGCACAGGTGTTTATTTCGTGTATTATTGTGTATATTTCAAACTTATGCAATATATATAATTAATATATTAGATTTCAAATCCTATTTCACTTTTCAAATATTTTATTTTCTCGTCGACAAAATGCTGAAATTTAGTTTACAATCGAGTACGATATATACTTTATCCAACAATGGAGAAATAATCCCTCGACTTTTAATTTATAATAAACGAAATTTTAAATTTCAAACTGTCACACGTCAAATAACAAAATCTTGCGATAATCATAATTTATTCTCCAATACAGAGAATAATAGTACTGTTTATAGTGTTATGAAAAGATCATCTCGTAGAATAGAAATATATTCAAATAACAGATTCGAGTTTACCTCGTAAGTAGATCGACACGCAAACGTGCATGGAATTCTCGACAGGTATCGCGAATGTCGAGAACGCTTAAGTAACGACCGCCATGGAAAACAAACTGGCCACCCATCGACGATCGGTGTTCCATTATCTTCGGGCTGTCACGGCTTTAGAGGATTACACGTCGATTACGAGGCTCAATTTTAAACTGTCCGTCTCCCTCTCGCCTCGATCCAGCAACCCTTTGCGGGTTACTCCATGGTTTTACAATCGGTCACCCGTGCTGTGACACGACCGACGGCTCGTCGAAGGGGTTGCATCCTTTCGAAAAGCGGATTACGTTTCTCATTCTGTCTTCTTTCACGTTCCTTTCACGCTCCGCTGACCATAGATGTCCTACGATCGTTATTGATCGATGAGTTTCGACCTAAAACTGATCCTCGTTTAGCAACATTGGCCGATACGTGTTTTAAATTTTGTCTAGGATACATGTTATTACAGATTCTCGTATGGTGTTGAAAAATTAGAAAAATTGACGCTATTTAAAATTTCTGATATCACCAAAATAATTGAGTAACTGCTGATTTATAGAATGTTAATTATTAAATATATCATTTTTAAATTGAAACAGTGATATATATATATATATATATATATATATATATATATATATATATATTTTATGAAACATTTTTTTTAGTACCTTTTATTCCCAGAGGATGGCGAGACTTTTTCTCGTTAGGGGAGAGGAGAGAAAAATGGTTTTTACACTTTTCTCTCCGGCTCTTCATTTTTCTCTTCACTTCTGCAACAGTTTCGCACGTCACTGTTTACTACTGGCACAACCCCTTTTGGTATTCCTAGGCGTGGTAGTATTTTTCGAAGGGTGCCAGCCAGTTTTTTGAAATGAAATGATGCCAAGAACTTCATGGTTTTGTTCGAAGACCACTGCCGGTCTCCCTTCTCTTTGCTCTGTAAATTATGACCCGTTATAGAGAAATTTTATTTCCATTACTTTTCTCTCCATTTTTACATAAAGTATATATCGATACCGTATATATCGATCGTACACCGACTTTCAGCATCTTAACGAAATAATAAAATATTTACAAAGTGATAGTGATTTAAAACGTAATATATATATTGCATCAAGCTAGATTTCTTCGTATAATATCCTTAACGCTTCGAAACGAAAATCGTCGTGAACATACGATACACATTAAAGAATTAAAGCATTCGCAAGCGACAAGTACGAAACTTGTTACTATCAAAGGTGCAACTCGAGCTTCGTTCAACAAGGCGAGCGAAAAAATCCAGCGTAGCATTAGAAAGTACTTGATGCGTACTGGGCACTTTGAAATTTCGAAGGCCCCTATACACTGTCGGCTGCCATAGGTGCCCCCAGGTTTTTTTTCAGTATGAATGATGATGTATGGATGTTGGCTGGGCGGTAGGGGCTGGGTAAAGGGTTCCATTGTTAAACACCCCCCTCGAGAACGAACCCTCTCTCTCTCTGTTCTCTTCGCGGGAGAGACCGTCGTGAAATATTGCCAGTGAGCAACAAACTGCATTCTGCAAGCTGTATACTGTTAATTTTATGCCGGATTTTTTTGCCCACTTCATCCGTCCCCCCTATCCCTTTTGCCATTCGGACTTGCCGCGTAAAAATCGTTGCCACCGGAATTCTTCACGGGCGAAACGTTCGCTTTTAAATCACCAATATGTATAAAAAAAGAAAAAAGAAAGAAAGAAAAGTGTATAAGATATAGATTACGTTCATTGAGCTTAAATAAAAGGAATTTCGAGTGTACGAAGTATGTTTTTCATGCTCGCGATTAAAACTTTTGTCAGTAAGTTTAGTTTGTTGGCATATTTCCTGTACGCGCAATATGTTTCCATTGCATAAAGAAACTTTTGAATATGATGAATATGATATTACATAATATCAGACACGCGCTAGATCCATCTCATTGTTCTTCAGCGCATAAAGAGCCGTCCGCAACATCCTTTGATTCTTCTGCTTTTCACATGAATATGCATCCGTCTAATGCAGCTGGGATTACACTTTTGATCGAGACTTTGTGAATAGTATAACCTCCTCTCGCAACCATAGCACTGTCATAGTAGAAGCGTATGAAGTTTTCACTCCCTTCTGCTTGTTGTACTTTCAACGAGTATCGTTAACAGCAATGTTGCTCGATAAAAGTTGACCCTAATCACTGCAAATTACATCTAGTTAATTTCTTGTTCGTGAAAGAACGTCGTCGAATGAAAATCGAAAGCCTCACCCTCGGAACCTTTGACGACGAAAAGCAAGAGAACTTGAGAAGGAAACTTCATTCATACGCTTCTCAAATCTGTGACGATCGAAATTATAACGTGTCAAACTTTTCATTTGGGAACGTCGTTGAGTAAAAAAACAGAACAACCAGAGGTAAACTGGAATCTTTAAGAAGAAACTTTGTTTCATGTTCCTCTGTATGCATTTCGATAGTCTCAAAATTTCCAAGTCCTCTCGAGTCGAAATGAAAATTTAAAACCTCGAAAAGAAACTTCAGCCCTTCGGTTCACGTACTTTTATAATTACTCACGATTAGTAATTTCAAAGTGTCACGATTCACGGATTATTCGTCAATTCGAAACGAAAGACTTTCGCTCTTGACAACGGTTAACGGTTGAAAACAACTTCGGAAAAGACCTTAGAACTTGGTATCACGGCACGTTATCAGGAAGAACAATGCGGAACCGCGATTAATAGGGCCTGTAATCGGACGCCGCACACGCAGCCCCCGGGCGATATATGCAAATTCGATCGGACACGGTTTTAGAAATTCGCCGCGGCCCTACTCGTCCGCCAACAATGCGTGACTCCATCGACAATAGGAAATAATAAACCGTGATAAATAGCCGGGCAAATACGTACGACAATCGCGGATCTCCTTTCGTCTCCTCGCCTCTTCGTCGCTCGTCCGTGTGTTTTTTTTCTTTTTCTCTTTTTCATTCGTTCGTCTCTCGTGTTTCGCTCGATTCCAGGTGGACTGATTCATATTCCCGAACAAATACGTTCGGCAAATATCGCGCGGGGGTTGATGGGGTTCTTATGTGCGCCCGTGAGCAAACAACGGCGTTAATTTCCTTGCTCACGTGTCCCGTCGCGTTTCGTTTCCCAATGGCGCGGCCGGAAGAGATTGTACTCGTTTCGACGGTGTCCTCTTTTTCTGCCTTTTTCTACATTCGATGAATATGAGATGCCCCGGCGTGGTTTTCAACATTCAACCGTTGAGATGCTTCTATATGACGAAGATAAATTAAAAAACGAGGGAAGACGTGTTTCTTTCGACTGAAAGCTTGTCTATTGAAGAAAATGCAGCATGGAAGTCTGTAGATAAACGAGAGACTTGCGTTCCCTATGGCTGATGAAAAAAAGAATTATTTGCGAAAAATACCTGTTTTCGATTTTGATTTTATCTAAAAATTAAAGTGAAAGTGTTTATATTTATTTCTCCATTAAAATATTTTATTCAAACTGTAAATTATTGACGATAGTGGCGATAGTAAAGTGATTTTCACGAAGAAACAAAAATAAAAGAAGGCCAAAGAACCAACTTCGTTTTTATTCGTTTGTTAAAATGTGTTATAGAAGTATGAGTACATTTAATGTTCTTGTCTAGAAGACGTATCGAGGAGTAGGCTACCGTCGTCTGTTATGAGACGATAGTTTCAGAAGTTTGAAGAGGCAGCACTAATCAAAAGTGGTCCGCGGAGACAGATTGAGGGGCGTGCTGAAATAAATCAGCCCTTTGTTTTACGGCTTTAAAACGGCCGTTGGGGATTTCGAATCCGAAGTTACGTCCATTCATTAGAAACACCCCAGCTGCGAGACGAAAAAGACTTCGCTGCCTCGTTCAGAAACAGCGTAATCGTTGTACCATTTCTCCACGAGCCTAACATGAATACACATCTATATCCGAGCACCTATGTCAATCTATTTTGCAGAAGTATTTCCATTAATTGACAAACATTGAGAATTTTTGCACAAATTCATAGTTTCGACAATCGATACCAAATGTTACAGAAAGCAATGATACTTTGAACATTTTATACATTCTTTTACATTGTGTGCAATTTTGCAGTTCTTCTCACTTCGTCGAAATAAAACTGGCCGGTCTATTAATTAATAATGACGTGAGCTAAATCCGAAGGTTGATGGAGCGAAAGAAACAAATGCAAATCGACGATATATCAATCTGATGATGGAAAAGGGTTAAACGATGCATCGTCGTGGAAATGATTCGAATTAATGTTTCGAGAAACTCGTCCTTAAATCCCATAGGACCATGTTGATGAAAAGTAAGGACTCTAGACGTAACGATCTATCTTTTCAGAATCTAATTTCCTCTACCCCGTGCTCGTATCGTTCTTGAATATCGCTAAAATACATCTGCAAGTCGAAAAAAATTATAGAAAATTATACGGTTTATCGTTCGCTGAGACGAAATATTAATTACTTTTTAAAATACATTCGTTACATTTATCTTTTTAGAATAATGCAAGTAGATAATGAAGAATCGAGAACGAGCAATTGTTTTGTAATGTCACTCGTGCGTTAAAAACATTGATTTATTTCTTCAGACCTTGTTATATAATTATACAGTGTGCTGACAATGACGGTGATAAGTGACTGACGATAATTTATTTTTAAACATAATGGCTCTACATATAGCAGCATACAACAGGTCAACCAGCGCTTCAAATTGTTTTTGCAAAATATTCTCTCGACTTTTAAAAACCTTCCTTCACGTTTCATATAATTTTTAAAGAAACTTCCCAATTTCACTCGCAATCCTAATTTCATAATCTAATATTATCAATTGTCCAATACTGGACATCTGGAAACCTAAATGAAAATTATAAAATCTCAAACTGTTTCTTATCTCACAGCGAAAAATCGAACTTTACACAGACATTGATCTGCATGATCTTGTTGTGCGTGTGTGTGTATTAGTATAAATTTCGTTTATTTCGATTTCGTGCGTTACTAAAAAAAAAAGTGGACGACGATATATATTTTTTTGAATATCGACCAATAGCGCGCATCGATGAAATCGCCAAAAATTGAACTTTACACAGACATTGGTCTGCACGATCTTGTTGCGCGCGTGTGTGTATTAGTATAAATTTCGTTTATTTCGATTTCGTGCGTTACTAAAAAAAAAAAAGTGGACGACGATATATATTTTTTGAATATCGACCGATAGCGTGCATCGATGAACCTGAGAACGGCACATAAGAATGCCTGATAATATATTATTATTGCGCGGGCGCGGGTCAATAATCGGGCACGTTGCCTGGCGACGGTGCTCCTGCTCTCTCTCAGCCTCCGGAATTTCTTCTTCAACGGACTAGTCCTGCAGCTGCGAGCTGCAACGCGCAGAAGTCCAGCAACCTTCAATACATCGCCATCGGATCGGTTTCATCTTACTCTGGCTTGAACACTCGCCGCTCCTTGGTAAGTAAGCCGAGCCACTTTCAACACTTTCCGTCGAACTTCGTTCGTTCACGCTCGGTTCTTCGCGTCGGTTCGCCGGACATTTGATTTCGTTCTCGGCGCCCCTTATCGGAGTTTTATTGTCTCCTCTCCACGAATTCAAAGTTCAGCATTTCAAAACCAAATTCATAACCTTCGTCGCCTTTCCGCTGATCTCTCTCTTGTCGAGTTTCTCACTTTTTATCGACAAATATTGCACTTTAAACGATAACGAGCGTTTAAACGTACGACGAAGAGGTAATTTCGACATTCGAAGAAGATACTACTGCTATCGTCACTTTCGTAGTTTCATTTTCAGTTCGATGGTTGTTCGGCAGCTATGTGGAGGAAAAGCAGGCAACAACTAGCGAACTCGCAGCTCTGTGAAGATGGCAAAAGTGAATGTGACGAACACGATAAACTGACATTTCCAAGATGTACGATGGAAAATACGTTTGAAAGAGTATGTGGGTTCAAACTGGACGATCTTGCCTCTTTCGATAGATTCACGGCGCTTTTGTACCGACCAACCGATCCCACTAGTTTGGGGGTTGTTAGAGCACTTTTCGGTAAGTTGTTTCAATGAAAAAATAGTAGCCGAAAGATAGAATTGACAGTGGCACGATTTTACATCTGTGTTACTTAAATGACTATTGTTTAGGATTGTGTATGGTATTGGATGTCGTTGAGGAACGAGGACTGGCAGACATCGACATAAAATGGGGAGATCCTATGGAGTGTCATTTCCCATTAATTCACGGAATGAAGGCCCCCACGTTGCCATGGATGATACTAATTTACACGATAATGTGGATAGGCGCATTTGGAATCATGCTTGGTTCACGGTTCAAACTAGCTTGCGCCTGTTTCGCGATTCCGTATTGGTACATCTTTCTCCTGGATAAAAGTTACTGGAACAACCACACGTATCTGTATGGGATCGTTGCTATTCTCTTCTGGGGTACGGAGGCTAACAAGTACTTGTGAGTTTGAAAGAAAATCTGAACGAGAAAGTTCACTGATACAAGACATTCGGGGAACTATTATATCAATTTAATATTAAAATCACACTTGACAGTTTATTACTGGATTCATTAACGATTTAGAAACAATTTTTAAACTTTTTGTCAATTTTCATATATTTAAATTAAACAAATGATAATTAATGATAACTTTTGTAACTTTAAATAATTACATAGTAATTAAACGATCAAATTTTGTTTACGTGTAATTATAATTAAAATTCAAGGATGTTAAAATAAACTTTTCACGAGGAAAGTCAAACATTGTTGAGAAAAGTTGGAATATAAAATTCGACTCAGAGAAATGAAAATGTAGAGAATAAGACAAGTTTGTGATACAATAAGGAACACAAGCTTCTATTTACGAAAAATCTTCCAAATCTCGAAAAATCTATAAAATAACATATGGAAAAATTAGAAATTAGTAATTTTGACCACTCTGATGATTCCAGTGTTATGAAATTACTTTTTAGGTGATGATTTGTTTGATTTTTCTACCAAATATTAAATTTATAAATCCGTGCAACTTGAAGAGTTCTTAATTTTACAAAGTCAGAAATAAATAAAACTATTCCCTTACAGTGCGTTGGATGCTATGAAGATGAAAGGAACCGTGCCACTGTGGAACTATTTCATCCTAAAGTTCCAATTTTTTGCGCTGTACTTTATAGCTGGATTGAAAAAATCCAGCGTAGAATGGCTGTCAGGGTATGCCATGATGAACTTATCACGACACTGGGTCTTCAGTCCATTCAAGTAGGTATAATTAAAGAGAATCAAAAGAATTCAAACAGATAAAGAAATCAAATTAAAAATTTAAAAAAAGAAACCTAATTACGCTGTTATCAGAAGTCGATTGAATTTCGACAGTAGATAAAACAATATTTCACCATTTCAGATTATTTTTAACCATGGAACAGACTGATTTTTTTATAGTTCACTGGTTTGCATTTATCTTTGACCTCACGGTTGGATTTTGGATGCTGTTCGATAAAACTCGTATCCCTGCGATGGTTCTTTGTACAGCTTTCCACCTAATGAACTCCAGATTGTTCAACATCGGTAAGTATTATTAATCCGTCTGTACGACAATCTCGTCTGAAGACAGCAGAACTCCTTCGATATGAATTCGTCGGAAGAGATAAATAATTTATATAATTGTAATATAATAGGAATACTCGCTCACTCTTCTCGCTCACTATCTACAATTTTTCCTTCGCATAATAAGAATTCACGTTCAGATAAGTGATAAAACAATGTAAAATCGACTATGTATTATCGAGTGTCAACGGACTATTAGTGGAATGTATTGCACTAACTTCCACTTTGAGAGCTGAATATTTCTGGATGAAAATAAAAATACCGTACTCTATTGTTCCATTTTTTATTCAGATACAAATTGGCAAGAGGAATATTCCGCGGTATAATATTCAGCTCTGTATCAGAAAACGTCGAATAATCTGTAGACAGCGACTGACTAGGAATTTTATAATTATACTAATGATTGATATATCACCCTTAGTACAAGGAAGAAGAGTATAAAAAATAATAAATATTTCAATCAGACAACTTGATAAATTGCACATGGTCAGTCGTAAAATTTCGTTTGAATAACGAAACGAAAGAGTTCTACTGTGCCAGTCGGAATTCTCCGAACGTCGTTAATCTCCGTCGAAATTATCCCCAGGAATGTTTCCATACGTGTGCCTCGCAACGATGCCGCTGTTTTGCAAGCCGAATTGGCCTCGAAGGCTCGCGACATTCGTCAAACGTACCTGTGCCCGTTCGTTCTCAAAGAGAAATCGTCAGGAAATAAGAAACTGTAAGAAAATCGCGATAGAACGAGCGAAAGAGTCGCGCGACGAGATAAATAGTCGAACTGACAACGGGTCGTCGATCGATGACGGACGCGAAGAAGGTACAGACTCGATAAACTCTACAATTACTTGTAAATCTGTGGAGGCAGGCAAATCGACTAGAGTGACGAAGAAGCAAAAGTTCGTAGTTTCTCTATTACTATTCCATGTATTCTTGCAGTTTTTCTTACCGTACTCTCATTTTATCACGCAGGTACACTAATGTTAATAAGTTCCTCATTACACGAGCCGTTTGCATACAGCCCACTTCGACGATCGGTAATTGTTGCTCATTGTTGACAGGGTTACAATAACTGGGTGCCAGGAATGTACGGATACTCTTGGGACATGATGGTCCACGTTTGGGACACTGTGCTCGTTGTAATTAGAATTCACGACAACGTGAGCAACGAGGATCGTTATCTGGACCCTACAGCGTGGGTGCAAACCAATCGATGGGAGAAACACGGCGACATGGCCGTGCAGTATGCCTCCTGTTTAAGAGTAAGCGTCATCTTTATCGATACAATCCTGTGTCGCAATACGAATCTTAGTTATCTGGGCGAGAAACGAAAAATTCACGCCAGCGGATGAGAAGTTTCATGTACAGCTTGTAAAACGACACGACGTTTGCAGGATAATTTAATTAAACAGGAAAACGAGATTTTCGAGAGCGACTTTCGACGCGGAACAAGCGACAAGCGAAAATGGTCACGGCTGTCGTCGAACTTGAGCATCTACATCGACGTGTGGTGTTCGTTGAACGGAAGATTCCAACAGAGGATGTTTAATCCGAATGTTGACTTGCTGACGGTAGATTGGCACCCGTTTAAGCCCGTTTCCTTTTTGATGCCACTCCTCTCGGAATATAATTCCTACAGGTGCGAACAGACGCGTGTTGTTTACTCGGCGATTTGATTCAATACCGCCGTCGTTTCGATCTTTGAACGATCTCATAAATCGGCTAGAACGCGATCAAAATTGATCTTATTTAAACGACGAATAATATCGATTGAATATAGAATGTAATGGTACTTTGATTTTTATCCGTGTACTCTGTTTTGTTTCATTCCATTGTCTTTCGTTTAGATACAAATTGGACGAGATACAGCAGCACGTATACACCTGGTCGAACGACACGGACGTCCTTTTCGTCGCCGATTTCCCAGGCATGCATCTGGACAATTACATCTCGAACAACTTCACCAACGTCACGCTAACTGTTCTCGAAGGCGAAGTAACGTACAGTGACGAGAGGCGAAGATACGACATCGTGCTTTCGAAAGGCTCGTCGATTCCGATAGAAACGGAACAGTTTCACAAAGTAACGACCACCAGCGCTTATCCAGCTTGCTACATGTACACATGTACCAGTCGAAATAAAGAGCAGCCAGAAACGGAAGGGTATTTAATCGTTTTATAAGTCGTTTGCACGCACATTTTAAATTCATTGTAGACACAGTCGTTTAATAGCCAGATAAATTCACGACGATGATTCATGCCGAATGTCTGCTCGTATCTTTTGTGCCTGGTTAACTGAAAACTCGTTGTGCTGCGAGTGTAAATTGACAGAATAAATCAGAAACTTGTTCCTTTGCAGCGCGACGGAGCCCGAAGAGCCGAGAGAGGCATTTCCAATCGCGAAAGAAATTGGTTACAAGATCGATGGTTGGATAAGAGCGTTTCATCACATAGCGGACGCGTTTTTTTACCTGGTGTACGATGTTCCCATGGTGCGAAGAGTGCAGATCGATAAATGAACGATAAATTCTTGAGACTCGAGTGATTGATCTTGCGATATGGATCTTCGTTTCTGTACGAACGATTGTTTTTTTTTTTTCTTTTTTTCTTTCTTAGAAATTCTTAGATCAAACCTTTCTGACCTGAGATAAAATTGTGATATTGATCCTCAGTGAATAGGGTTATTATTTCGCCTCGGTTAAAATAGATAAAATAGATATAAGTGTCCAAAGAGTATTTGTTACCGATTATCAGTTATTGTAAATTATATATATATATATATATATATATCATAACTAATGGAAGATGTAATGATTTTTCACGTTCGAAAAGATAATGTCATAAGATCACTGCCACGACGAGCTTCGAAGCTGAGACAGTCTATTATTAATTCTTAATAAAAAGATAGTCGACAAAGTGGAAGACTTAGTGATCATAAGTGTGTCAACTGATCTACGCCTGTGTAGGAGCGATTCACAGCGGTTCTAATAATACGCTCGAATCGGTTCTTTCCTGTTCACGGCCTGCGCGCAAAATGCAATTGAAAAACCGCGACGCGAAAACTAACCTCGACGACGTCGAACTTTGCGATCGTGCAGACTACAAATGGTAAAAATAAATAGTCAATAATCTGCTTCGATTGCTCATTTGATTCGCGGCTCATTGTGAAAATCGACGAAATCTAAAAGAGAAGCATGTTTTAATACCTAAACAACCCAGAGAGTGGTCATTATGATGAATTCGAAATTTTTCAAATTCAATACAAATGGTTTCCCAATAGAAAATGAACATAAAAAAATACCATACGTGAAGATGTGTCCGCAGGTTCGCTAAAACATTTGAATACATGTACGAATCTTTTATAAATATATTACGTGTGAAATTTTGAAATTTCATTAGCATCGTAGCGAGACTCGACTATCATGATGAAATTAGACCATTACTCGTACTATTTGCTAACTATATAGTTAACATTTTGTCTGACAATTTTCATACACTTCCTTAACTTCTATATTTTCAGATTATTCAATTTATTCAAATTTTATTAACGTAATCGTGACAGATATGTTTCATTGCTCATACTGATAAAATTTCAAAATGTTTTTTATAACATATATCAGTGTTCAAACATTACTTTCGTAAGTCAACAGTATAACGATAAGCGAATAATGAATTTCTACAAGGGAAACAATTTTTTTAAATTGAAACAATCAATTGGTGTTTTGCCTTTTTCTTTTTAACGAGGCCAAGAATTTTTGGCACAATCGAAGTGTATTGCAGCGAGTGCCAGTGTCAGACAAACAGATTCTCGACAAGATAACAGATGTCAACGTCAATTAAAACATTTCTGCGTTCACGTTGCTGTAAAATGAACGCAATTCAATCCTTCCTTTTCTTCCCCTGACGTAAGCGCTTATCAATCGTACGTATGCCAACGTTTAATCGGACGAATTTGATAGCTCCTACCACTCTAATAAGCTATTTCGTTTGATAAGGTGTAAGTAAATGCATCCGGTGAATCTAATGCTCGTCCCAGTGATGTATCTACTGTATCATATTGCCCCGTCAATTTTGTCTACAATGACATTATATTGTTGCTGTACGATAAAGAACACGTTGCACAACTTATTTCTTTCTTCTTATTGAACTATGGTTTTTCATGCATTCATAGGGGATTTTAAAGTACGAAATTGTACACAGTGCACACAATATAGACAAGTTTTACGATATTTAGTACAATAAAACAATTTTGCTATCGAGGTTTTTTTCTTCATTATATTCCGAAAAATACAGATTTGCATAAAAACCCAAAGTCTAATCATAGTCGTACACATATGGCGATGGCCATCGACACCGGCATGCGTAACACCGCTACGTACATACCTGTTTAGAAACTTGCTTATCGAGATACGTGGCCGAGGAAACGGTTGCCGATCGTCAGTCGCTCGCACACGATCGTATAAACACCTTCGATCACAGAAACGTTGGAAAAAGTGCGTTGGAGTCGCGCTAGTGACGAATTAATCGCGAGGCTGGCGAGATCGATAAGTGAAAAGTGTAATCGATTCGAATCAACGTGATCGAAATGTCGTTCCTAGAGTCATAGGTAAATTTCCGAGAAATTTAGATTCTCTGATAAATACGATGAAAGTGAGTACTGCAATTTAGATTCTCTGATAAATACGATGAAAGTGAGTACTGCAAGTGTGATAGTGTCATCGAGAAAGTTTCAGCGATAAAGACTTTTGGACGATTTCATGATCAATTGCACGAGGGAATAATGAGAGAGAACGTGGAACTGTGAGTGACTGTTGGTTGATTCTGAAATTAGAAGATGCGCGATTGTTAATTGGATTTACAACGCGATCGACTTTACAGCGAATACAATAATCGGTTGGTAATTTCTTTCTTGTTTTCTACATGTAAGTTTCACGACTGTTTCTGAATTCGTTTGAGGATAATGCTTTCTGAATACTGTATGTACAAGCTTATCACGTCGATTAAAATCAAACTTTTGAATGGTCGTTTCTGAATGTTAAGAAATTATTTACCTCGCTCGTCTGATTTCCAGAGGAAACATGTCCACCGACGGAGATAACGATAGGAGGCAAACGAAAGTCATGGATCCTCTTTTGGAAGCGCTCGATAAGCTCGGACGTGGATCCAACTTTCTATGGACAATATTCATTTTTACACTGACGCCGATGGTATTCAATGGAATGCACTCCATGTCTTATATCTTTATCGCCGATGTAAGCGTCTCTTTATCAGATTTCGTTTTCATATCACATTTTTCGATCGCGCGATTAATACGAAAATCTAACAACGCAGACATTCATACAGATATAAGTAGAAAATATCGCGATAAGTATTACATTTGCAGATTATATACATATATCGTATACATTTTTGCATTTCTTATAAATGCTTAAAAATCCAGTCCAGTTAAATACAGTTAAATACTGCGTGTTATTATTCTTTGACACGCTATTGTATTATAATCTAATTATTGCATTATGGTATAACCATAATCCACTTATAATGAACACCAGCGTGTCGAAAAGTAATAACACGCTATTGTATTTATTGTAACTGGACTATGGATTTCTATATATTTGCACTGCATATGAATAATAATAGATTTGTAAAATATTCTATAAAAATACATGTACGTAAATAATTAGACAATTGTATTTCACAGGTTCCCAAACATTGGTGCGCGATACCAAGTCTGACTGGAGCGATTTGGACGGACGAGGAAATAAGAAACATCTCGTCGTCCAGTCCGTGCACCATGTACAATTACAATTACGAAAATTTTGCGCAGATTGGATTCGAGAAGGCGTTAGAGTACAAAATTTCCAATCCTCTACCCGAATCGATTTTCTGTGACGTAAGGGATTTCGCAAATAATAACGATGGAACTTCTCTCGTGCAAGACGTGAGTACTGTATTTCACTAATCACTACTTTGTAGCTGAGTTTCCTCGAACTACCCTTATTCTCGCCGAGGAAAGCCGTTTACATCTTGTTTCGTACTCACGGCGACATCTGTAGTATACCATCCCTAAGCCAATTTCCGACTCTCGTCCCACGTTAGTTAGTACTATTCACTCTAGAAACTCGAACTTTCGCGCTCGAAGTTTGGAACGTGTAAGTAATTTGTACAAACGAACATTTTATTCAGAATATTCTCTGGGGAATAAAGACACAATTAATATTAATAATGATTTTTTTTGAGTAAATAAATATCTTTTTCGCTTAGTACACTTTGGTGTAATATTCTTTCTCAAAGTAACTCAAAAATTAATAAATTACAGTGTAATATCTTTTCTCAAAGTAACTCAAAAATTAATAAATTTTTGTGTAATATTCTTTCTCAAAGTAACTCAAAAATTAATAAGTTACGTTGTCAAAATGACATAAAATTAGTTTAGTTATAATCATCTAGAAATCTAAAATTTCTTCTTGGTATTTCGTGGAAAGAAGTAAAAGAAAATGTTTCAAATTTTTAATCTTCTCTGAACAGTATTGCCAAGAACTTCATCTTATAAAATAATACGTGCCTAAGGAGTTCTCGTCTGAGTAGAATAATCAATGATTTAATTTTAACGAAACGTTATAAATAATTGAATTTGTTATTAATTCCAGTGGGATTTGGTATGCGACAAGAGCGCGGCACGTTCGAGCACCCACATGGCACTGTCACTCGGAAAGTTATTAGGCAGCGCTTTCTTCGGAATTTTCGCGGACAAATACGGCCGCAAAATCTGTTGCGTTATTGGTACAATAATGTTAATCACTTCTGGTCCAGCTGGTGCCATCGTGCCCTGGTACTGGGGCTTCATGATCTCGAGATTAATTAATGGTGCTAGTCACGCAGCCATACTGTATTCAGCTTTCACGACACGTGGGTACTTTAAATTAATATAATTCCTTTAAATTAATATAATAATAATATAATTCCTTCTTAAAGACATTCTCAGAAAGATTTCTAAAAAAAAAGTCTATCGACTTTTAAAATCTTTGTACGTTAATTTTCAAATAATCTTACATAATTATATATCAATTTTAATTGCAACGATTGTATTGATATTACATACGAATATTAATGTTAATATAACTAGTTGATCGGGCCGTTCAATTTATTCAGTTACAGAGGTAGCGAATGAGAAGCACAGACAATGGATGGGAATCGCTTACAATATCGGCTACGCTTTAGGAATGGTTATTGTCTCAGGTGTAGCTTATTTGCTGCACGAATGGAGGCACATTCAATTAGCGATATCTCTACCGGCTCTGCTTTTGCTAATACAGTTATGGTTAGTCTGCTGCTGCGTAACGTAAAGATTCTCGAAGAGACTGATTTGCTAAATTTTTCTGAAACTGTTTCACAAAGTGATCCGATCAATTGAGAGATTTAATCAAGAAACACATCGCGATAGTTCGATTGTGAAATATTATGTAATTACACTGTTACAGGCTCATGCCAGAATCTCCACGATGGCTGATAGCTCACAACCGTCGGGATGAGGCGAAGAGTTTAATTAACAAGGCGTCTAAGGCAAGTCCCGATATAACGATGACCACGTCAATCGCGTCAAATATAGAGGAAAAAGAGGAAGAAGAGACAAAACAAGAATCGAAAAACATTAAAGAAAGATTACACGAAGATATCAAAGGGTTTTGGGTGGTTATCAGCAACAGCGAACTACGAAAGAGACTTCTTATCACGAATTTTACCTGGATGACAGCTTCTCTGACTTACTATGCGCTAGGTAATCGAACGATCTAAATTTATTTCCTGAAAGAGTTACAATCATACTTTTGCAATAGAACCCTAAGTTTATATGAACTTATAGGAAAACGAATAATTTCGCGTAACAAGAGTTTTGTATCAAGTCAATGGTGTTTTATAAGCTCACTTTAGGTATCTGTTATTGGTCGTTACAGCACTAAATGTGAACAACTTCTCCACAAACCGGTACATCTACGTGTCAGTAATGGGTCTGACCGAAATACCAGCTTATTTAATACCAACGCCGATTCTGATGGTCATGGGACGACGTACAGGAAGCGGAAGTTTGTACATCATAGCTGCGTTGTGTTTGCTCTCCATTCTTGCAATTCCAACGACAGATAGCGATACGATTATGATCGTATCCTTAATCGGAAGGTTCAGCGCGTCAGCTGCTTATGGCATCGCCATTTTGTACAGCTCAGAGCTTTTTCCTACGGTAAATACTATATATAGTAGCCATATTATCACAAGACTGCAGATTTCTTCAATCCAAGAATCAAGAAGAAACGACATGACACGTTCAAAGTGGAATGTTCAGAAAGATGAAACAAATTTTCATTTTCTTCCATTTCCTTAGTTCATAACGTAAAATTTGCTGCAGTCAATGTACAAATAATTCTTCTTCGTGATTCAATATCTTTGTTTTCAAATTTCTTCTTTTTTTTTAGAAATGTTTGAAATTTGCTTCTTTCGAAACAGGTCTGCAGAAACTCCGCGGTCGGTACGAATTCCGCGATGTCTCACGTCGGAAGTGTGGCCGCCCCTTACGTCGCCGATTTATTGGGAGCTGCGGTGTGGTGGGGGCCAACTACTCTTTGCGGCGGTTTAGCTCTAATTGCGGGTTTATTGTGCCTAGTATTGCCGGAAACTCGCGGCAGGCCACTGGCGAACACCGTCGATGAAGAAATTACCGAGGAACGAGACAACGTGTCGTTCTACAATGGCTACAAGTGTGTAAAAGACGTTGTGCTGTGCGTAAGGTCGGGTCGCAAATCGCAGCTGACAAGCGCGATCATCTCTTAGACGTTCTTCAGACATCTTGAATCTATTCATCTAGCAATTCTCACGAAGGGAATGTAAGATCTCGTTTTCGTATTTCAAGACTCGTTCTTCAAGTGAGACTAGATTTTTAATAAAAGTGTATTTGTATTTTAACTATTTAAGTTATTATATTATATATCATTGTGGCCAATTCCCTGTTGCAAGTATCGATGAAGCGATAGTTTCTTGACAATGTGTTCTTACATAGTACGTGTATAGTAGTTCACGAAAAACGTAATGTCGTTTCATGAAGATATCATTATACGTAATTTTAGCATTCTAGCGAGATTTGAATATCACGATTATATTTGACAAACAAATCTGAAAATGTACTATACGTACTAGAACGTATTAGATGTTTAATGCAAGCACATATTTCGTACGAAGATCATAGAAATATTACAAGTAATAAACCTTAATATTCAGATTTAGATGCAACGTTTATTATAAAAATTATTACAAATATCAATTGTATAACTAACATTAATTCTTATTACTAATATACAGTAAATATTTGTAATAATTAAATATTAAATATTAAATATAATTTAATATTTAAAATTAAATATTAAATTGTTATGAATATCAACTATATTCAATATTTGTAACTGTTTTATACATTTTTAGATCGGTTTTAACCACGTAGCCATGACAATCATGGTCTTGTTGCAACTCTAAAATGCCAGTATACTTCTCCAACTACGTTTTACATTGTTTTTATACAAGTACTTGATATTATCAACAGATGTTTTTTTATTATAATATCCACGATTCGAAACGTGGTGATCTCGACGATGACTCAAGCGTACAGCTGTTTTACCAAAGTCTATTTGTTTAATAAGTATTAATGTCGAAATAGAAATACATGCGTTCTCACTTACAATACTTGTGTAAAATTTCTTTGATTTCCCTTTTCCACTGGTCATTGTAACTGTTCGTTGCGTGTAATAGAAACATAAAGGATACGCAATTTCTCAATCTCGGCGTAATTATCTTTTCCGATACGAATCTAGTGGGACTGCGATTAGTTTAGTCGGTTCCCCACTTCTATTAGAGAATATTAATAGAAATTTTCAAACATGATGAGTTGAGCGTTTCTTGTTTTGTTTCTCGTTCGTTGCATAAGAACAGATATATCTCATTTATAAATGGAATAAGCAATGCGCAAAGTATTGCAAATCATCTGCGTCAGATATCTTTTTCGCCAAAATGCAATCGTATTACATGCTAAACATTCTGTCGAGATCATGCAAGACTGTCGAGTCTCACAAACATGACGATTGGTGAACAAATTGCAATAGCAATTTTATTAGAGAATTTAAATTCTGACGGAATAATCTTCAAAATTACAGGAATACTTAGGAAACTTCGAGATTCGTTGAGAAAAAGAAACGAAACTGGCACACGAGGATGGACTTTACAGCGATCACGGATGCTTTTTAGCGTACGTATACCAGTAAAGTGATGTGAAAATGACTTTATGCAGAGATATTAACAAAAAATCATGTTTTTGCAATTTATTTTCATTTTTGTTTTCAGATATCTGCTTTTAACGACCAAATGATAAGAGAGAAGATATCCAGAGAGCGTTACAACGATGGGAAGACCGACTCGTTATTTCTATAAAATGATACAAATGCTGTCCGAAATTCCGCAAGTACAATACAGATATTTCGTTTCAGTGAAAATTTTATTTTCTAAATAATTTATATTTTCCAATGGAAACGTAAACTGGCGTAAATGCCTAGTGACTCTTGTCTTCGATCGTCCACTTTGAAAGTTGTACGCAATCGCTTTCAAATTAATTTATTATTATTATTTCGCGTAATTCGATTTGTCACGATAATTACAACTTGTTGAAAATTGTTCAAATCAGTAAGCTCTTTGCGATGGAGAAAGGAGAGTTGATAATTTATGCAACCTTCTCCCTCAAACATCTAATAATACAAATGCGATAAAATTAATCAATTGCAAACGTAGATATGATTGCCATGCGTTCTGGCATTAATTGGATTCGTCAGCTAATCGCGACTATCGTTCCTCCGTGCAGTATCGACATGTTCGTCAAAAAGTTTGTTACTCGCTCCATCTTCGTTGCCAAACCTCAGGATGTGGCAAGGTACAAAAAAAAAAAGAAAGAAAAATAAAATCTTTAATATTTAAAATAATAATATTTAACGCACTAACGAATACAATTTCGATTGGCGAAGGTTTGCTGTGCCTGTTCTGTTGCTTGCAGTCATGGCACTTTTACTATGGTCGTCCTACGTGTGTTTGAGCATAAAAAATTATAAAAAGATCAAGAGCAACTTCTCCACTGAAAATCAACAGAACAGCACGAACAAAAGTTCATCGAAGTTCCAACAATCTTTGGGTGGCATCATTGGACGGAGAATGACTAATTATTGTCAAATTCAAACGTGCGATGCAGTAAGCTGCTCGAATATCCCGTACGATTCTGGAACAGTAGTGTCAAACTTCATCGAGAACAAATTCAAGGTGAACGATATTTCTTCTACGTATATTTAAATCACGTACACTTCTGCTCGAGAATCTTGGAACATCTTGGACATTTTTGATCTTTAATATTTATTTATCGTAGGTAATGAAATCTTTCAATTGTGCGCGTGTATTTTATGACACAATTGTCAATATATTTATTTTGCAGATGTTCCTAATATATTTAATAATGCTAAAATTAATAGTAATAACATTGATATATCTATCTCAGAGATTCTTTCTAATTACATATGCAAAGTATCATTTAATTTTCCAATTTCGAAACAAACACAATCCTAAGATTGCTGAGCCAAGGTGTACCTATCTGGTTCATCGTGAATTTCACGTACAGGTCGACTGCAAGCTCGCAAAATCCGTAAAACTGTCACTCGTCGGCTGCGAATTCCCCGAGAACACGCTCCGATGGAATTGGCTGGGCACCAATTTGTCGATCGAGGAGTTAACGTTCACGAGCTGCTCCCTCGGCAAAATAGACGACGACGCGTTCTCGTTGCCCATTTACACACGAACGAGAACAATCACCATGGTCAAAAACAGGCTGACCACTTTGCGCAAGGCGACGTTCCGTCACCTTAAGGCGTTGCAGGCGCTGAATATTCGCGAGAATGTCATCGAGTCGGCTGAATTTAATTTGCTCGAAGAGGCGGCGGGTTCCTTGACCACGCTGGACTTGACCCAAGCGATCAACGATCGAGAGGTGCTGCGAAACATAACTGGCGGGACAGCGTTGTTGTCAAGCGTGGAAATATTACGTTTGTCGGGAAACGATCTATTCGCGATCGATGCCGGATTGTTCGCCGGTGTGCCAAATGTGAGATCGCTTTATCTGGACCACTCGAACATTAAGACAGTGTCGCCAGATACTTTGAAACCGATGGCCTCGTCCATAGAACAGTTGATGCTGTACGACAACGATATCGCCTGGCTACCAGAGGGATTGCTCGACTCCGTGAATAAACCAAACGTCTTTCGTATGTTCGTACGCAACAACTCCTGGCACTGCGACTGCAATTTGAAATGGTTGAAGGATTTCGTGGAAAGTCAATCGAACGCTGAATATCTAATTTGCAAGACTCCGAAGGAGAACGCTAACAAGTCATTCTTTCAAGCGGATTTCTGTCCTCGACCAACCACCGCTCTTGAATCTACTGACCATTGGACCACCAGTACTCAGCAAGTCCAATCCTCCGAACAGACCACTGAAACCGACGGAACGGTCCACGTGATTTGCAATCACGCCGAGCCATACGCGCACACTTTCAATACGCGTAAATTGTTGTCCACGGAGCTTCAGTTTGCCTCTCGATTTCCTGATTTCTACGTATCGGAGATCCTCGATCACAGTATACAAGTGAGCCTGCCCGACTTCAGCGAAGGGCTCACGCTGCTCTGGTTCGACAACAGGAACGTCATCGGCTCGCTCGGCTGTGCGAAAAACGCGAGGCGCTCTTATCGGTTGCGGGATATCGATCAGCAAGCGACGTACACGATCTGTTTGCTCGATGATAACAGAGACACAGTGTCCCCGTTGAATTGTCTGGCGGTGACTACCAAGTCGACTTACGAGTCCGGCACCTGGTTAACGAACGCGGACAAGAGCCTGGTCTTCCTCGCGCTGACGCTGTCGTTGATCCTGCTGTTCCTCGTCGGTGGTATCCTCTCGTTCCTGATGATAAGACGACACCCGACGTTGCTCCGCGGCAGCAAACGGGTGATGTTCGTGAAACGAAGGAACGTGGACGCGATCGTGCTCCCGAAGGGCGTCGACATCGACGAGGGGAAGCAGAGGGAGGGGAAGTCTCACGAGGATGACTACGTGACGCCGCTGCCTCCGAAGAGAATGCTGGCTACTGGGACGTCGAGACTGTCCAGAAGGAGTTCCCAGAGCGATCGGAATAGCTACATATCGCAGATGGAGACAACAGAGTCGCAGCTGGCTCTCTGGGCGAGGCTCAAGTGCGAGCAGGAGAAACGGAAATCGATCGCTCCTCCGTTACCGCCGCATCCTTCCGACTCGATTCCCTCGGTCTCTCAAACGATAGACACGAAGAACGATCGCGTTTACGAAGCTGATGCCTATTAGATCGGTCGGTTGTTTTGCGCCAACGTACAACTGAAAAATTCGCACCATCGACGAACGTTGCAACGCGAAACTAGATAGAGCCGATTCTCGCCTCGAATCGCGTGAAATTTGGCCGCCGGCCGAAAACGTACGGCGTGTCAGTTGTCAATTGTCGATGACGCTCCATCAGGGAAATGTCGATAGTTGGAAATGAAATTTCGAAATAAAATCGTCGGTCAATTTTCACGATTCACTTGCGTCTTTTGTTCTGCCTCGCTCATCCTCGTTCTATTTCCCTCCCTCTCGTTCTACGTATCGACGCAAAAATATTCGTTCCGACGCTGATTATTATCATTGGCTGGCGTCTGTCGTTTATTTTTGACGATTAGGTCAGTAGTTCGTCGCAACTCGTCGATGCCTCTATCCGATTGGCTAAGGAGGTCAGTGGAAGCTTCGTGTTCTGCTTCTCAGAAGCGGCTGCCAGCGACGGAGCTTTTTTACGAGCAGCAGCGGCTGGCAATCCACTGCAATCCTCTAAAAGGACGCAATGCCAATATCAAACCGCTGTACTGTCGGTGCACGCTGCAATCCAATATAACCGTTTGCGTGTTCGCCCACCGAGTGCCCGTGGAAATGACCGGCTATACGCAACGGCACGTCACCGCAGCTTTCTACGGCTACACTGCCAATAGCAGTTCCGGATTTGCGTGAGCTTGACATTGCCAAATGATGTAACACGGCTCGTAACGCCGGCCCATTTCCCCCTTTGTGACAAACCAGCTTCTCTACATGCCGATGATTCACCATCCGATATACGTCTTCCATTGTTCTTACTCTCGTTTATCTCTCGTTACGAAATCATCTCGCCTCTCCGACGTCTTTTCCTTTTCCTTTTAATTCCGACAATGGAATTATGAATGTGACGAACACGTTAGTCAAAGGAATATCGAAGAAATATTTTAATATTTGTATTTTCATTAGTTCTGTTTTTTCAAATTTTTATATTTGTCGCGCAAAAATTTGCAACCATTACACCACGAATGTTTTCGAATATTTATATATACACGGTATATATTCAATTAAGTGAGTTTTTATTTAAATTTCATTTCTTCGGGCATCTTCGTGTGAATATAAATTATTGTACATGTACGTAGAATCACGGTTCAGTCATCGCAACAACATCAAGATCCACTTAATTCCGAAAGTTTGATCGGAGTGGAAGGGTGAACTCTCGCAAAATTGACGAGATTGATTATCATCAACGACGCGTTGATAAGAATGGAACAACAAGGAAAGAGCGATCGATTTAAACGATCGATTGTAGTTTGTCATTCATTGATTGCGACAACAAACTACACGTTTCGCAAAGTGCGTACCGTGAAAGGGTCCCGATTAAGAATCTTTTTATAGTGCCTTTCGATCGACAGATGATTGGCGATTGTCTATCGACGCTAATGAGAATGCGGGATTGCGTCTGTGCGGCTCTGCTAATTAGTTTACTAAGGCTCAGTCAGACATTCCCATCGGTACAGTAAGTTGTTCAGAAGCGATTGCACAGACGGGAACTGTTAATCATTTACTTCTGTGATAACTGTGATTAGCTCGGACGAACATTGTCGTTAATATATCGAGTCACCGGCACAATGGTAATTATCAAGGAAACCGTTGAATCCGTAGCTGTACACCGCCATTACATTTAATAACACGAAATTACGCGAAACAGTAACACAATAATTATCGAGAGTATACCGTTTTCTTGATATCGATGTTTGGGTAAAATGTCTTTCATTTTCATTCGAAACACTAATTGCCAGTAGGTGTGTTCTATAATTAACAAATGAAGTTCTAATAAATGTGAACCGATTTTTCATCGTTGCAGGATGATATTCAACTTAGCAAGGATCAAATTGAACGTGAGTATCGATTTTATAGCGAAGTGTACCAAATTTTTGTCAACTTTCGAGTACTTTGTTCCATTTGCAGTTTCTATTCATATCCAGTCCGTCGTATTATTTTATACTTTTCTTTTATTTTATACTTGGAATTTTTTGTTACTAACACATAGAATACGAACAATTAAATTTGCCTTTTATTCACAATAAATATTAATCTGTGATACCTTTTTCCATAATAAATATAGGTTTCAATGTCTATGGTACTTGAGAATTAAATATACTATACCTACTCTTTATTTTCTTAATTTTCCACTTCTCGAAATCAATTTTTCAAATCTTTCCCTGCAATTTTCCAGAATTAAAAATGGGATTCGACGCGTTCGATCCCGAAAAGAAAGGTAACATCACCAACGACACGGTCGGCACCATTTTCGGAATGATGGGTATGAAAATTCCAACGGAGCAACTGCAAGCGGTTATCACTGAATTCGACCCATTCGGTAAATCGCTAAACAACCGTCTATCAATAATTCATCGCGTCTATACGACTCCTGAATAACATTCATTTTCCAGACTCCGGGGAACTTAGCTTTCAAGATTTTTGTGCCTTGGCTTCCCGATTCATGGAGGAGGACACTGACACGGAGGCGATGCAGCAAGAGTTACGCGAAGCATTCCGCTTGTACGATAAAGAGGGAAACGGTTATATCACCACCGACGTATTCAGAGACATTCTTCACGAACTAGATGATGCACTGTCCCCCGACGAGTTGGACATGATCATCGATGAAGTGGATGCTGATGGTTCAGGAACGGTCGATTTCGAAGGTGCGTACCAGAAATCTGATGAATTGTGTATTTGTTGAAATGGAATCTCAGTCAGTTTTCGATGAACGCTAGAGCTAGCAGAGCAGATCAGATCTTTGTATAATTTATATGATTTGAACGATTTTTGTAATATTTTTAAATGAGAAGCTTGTGCACCTCGCAATTTTTATTCTTCATTTTCATTCGTCTGATCGCAAGTTTTATTTTTTAGTTAATTCTAGTGTTAAATGAACTTTCGACAAGTTAATACAGGGCAGTCTATCTTTCAATGAATTCAGATAAATGGAATTCTAACGAGAATTATTAATTACTTTATATGTCATTCACATCTGGGTTGTACCGAAATTAATAGACGTCCCCTTTTAAGCCTTTAATTTAATCATACGATTTGCTTAATTTTCTAATTCTTTTTCTACGAATTTTACTACGAATCCTCGTCACAGAATGAAAAATATGAAACAAACGTCAAATTAAAACGTATAGATTAAAAATATATCATAGCGTTTAAAGTACGAAACAAGATTGAGCATCCAATTTTTAATAATCAAACATGGTGAAACCATAATTTTAGATCGATCCAGTAGTAGCAGAGAATATATTTTTCTGTAAATCCGAGTAATGAATAAACGTTCGTCTCGCGTTGCAGAATTCATGGAGGTCATGACAGGCTAAATTATCACGTTGGCACGAAGCGATCGTCCCTCGTGTTGGTCACCACGAGAACGCATGCAAACGACGATACCGCCTGGTTCTACACACGTGGAGGATGCGATTTATCGAGACACTGTTGGCAAAGTATGAAGTTAAAAGGTTCGTAGGTGATGTCTGTTAGGGAGGAGCAGCGAATAGATATAGCTGAGAAAGTATTTCTGCCGGGTGGGTCGCTTTTGGACTCACAATCGGCTAAAATGTATTTCTATCCATGCCGGGATTAAGCGGACCCGAGACTAGCGGGTGCTCTAGCGAGGCACGCTTTCTAGAAACACATTTATGTCGATCGATAGAAATCGACGTTTCCAAGTAATTATCATCGTGCGAAGTAGTTTCTGGTCTGTTCATTATGCGCTGATTAGATTGAGATCGTGCGAAGTTTAACGAAATCGAATTGGGTATTATCTGTATGGTGAGAAATGAAGGTTCGCAAGCTTCGTACTTTGCCCGCAAAATTTACCATCATTTGTAACCGCCATGATACTCACACACCGTTGTAATTGTAAAATTGTACATTTAAGTCGACATAACATAACTTGCACATAAGAGATTACACGCGTTGTAATAAAAGTACAAAAAAATAGCAATTGCGACTCGTTTAATTTATGCGCCCTCCCTTCCCTTTGTGTTTGTAGTAATATACACAAATGAATTGTATGTTAAGGCCACTGACGCACAATTAAAGCCAAATGAAGAGGAATACAATCTGTAATACGGTGTACAGTATTCTAGTTACCATTACTATTTATTTCAATTAAATCTCTTTCAAATAAATATTGAAAACCAGTGTTAAAGTTGCATCAGCACAATAATTTCATCTTTAATTTTGTACGATAAATTTATATTGTCAAAGTCTGCTTTTCAATATGAAGAAAAGGTTCCAATGATTCACTTACCACTTTCCTCTCGCGTTCTTTAGGCTCCAAAATTTTATAAATATTTCAAGAAATTTTATACAATAAATACTATACTGTCAAGGTCTACTTTTTAATATGAAAAAAAAAAAACGATTCTAAGAATTCACTTGACATCTTTCTTAGGTACCAAAATTTTATAAAAATTTCAAGTAATTGAAACAAACATCCGTGAATTATATATTTACGATAACGCTCAAAATTATTGCTCGATCCTTAATGGATCGTTTCCTCCCGCTGTGTCTCAATACCTAACGAAATTACTATCATCGAATCGAGTTGCATCGAAGTCGCATTAAATGGAACGCTTAAATCCGTTCATGTAGTAAACACGTGTGCCCTCGTGTAGTAAATATAGCTTTAAAATTAGCCGGCGGTAAAGCGCATGTTAGCCATGATCGTTGCGAGAGCGGCGGCATTTTCGCTATAAAGTGAACAATGCCTGTTCTCGAAACACGGAAACGAGCAGAATGCCAGAATCAGCGTTAATATTGAAAATGCGATGATCAGGGTGTTAGCTGTTACATATTTCGAAGGTATAATTAGCTCCCTAAGAATACGACCGATTTATTACGTCGGAATTGTCTCGGAAGATTGTGCACGATATCCGGCGATGAGCCAACTTCGCCTATTGTCGCGACGATATCGATCGTGGATCGTGAACTATATAGCCTGTGGCGGAAGCTCGAGCTTCCCTCGGCAAGCCAAGCTCGAGAGATCCTTGCGAAACGAAGATTTTGCAAAATATGAAGGATTTCTCCCCGGGGCGAGTTGGCCTGGCAATCGCACGATCGCGATACCGAATACCGACCACGGTGTGATGTAACCGCGCGTCGATTGAATTACAAATGATCGAGACTATCGTTCGCTGGACGAAGTGTAGCTGGAAAATTAAAGTAAACAGGAACGTTGTGGTAATCCGGTGAAAATGACCTTGCACGTTCTTGTAATTATACGGGAGGGAAAATGGAAGAATGTAAAATATATCGAAAGTTGCGTAGACAACGAGAATAAACCAAGATAAATTTTTCAAATTTTTTTAAGCGAATTTAAGCGCGCTAATTCTGGCTAGACCTTGTTCTTGATCTCTCTTTGAAATTTTGAAAATATATGAAACGCGATCTCACGTCTCAAGCGTCTGAGAAATTATACACCGATATAGTCCAGTATGAAAAAGTATCGCCGGTTCGACGATGGCAACGCAACGGTTCGCGATAGAATAGGAAATTGAGTACGTTGCCTCGAATTTTGCACAATTGAAGCCCGGCTTCCGCGGGAACGTAGAGTGGGGGGAGTGTCCTCGATGAATTTGAAAACCGCTAGAGTTCCTACGTAGATATCAGCCCGGTCAATCACGTGCCAGATCATCCTAATGTCCACATAAAACAGAAGTCCACAGCCAGAATCTAGTGCATACTCGGATAAGCCGTCGATGCTGTTGCGCGTTAACACTTGACTCCAAAAAGCTGTACACCTGACTAACACTTCGACATGGTGCGTTGTTACGAGTGAACATTACCCTCTAACAATATTTCTCGAGTGCATTCTGAATTATTTTCTCACTATTTTCGTTTCAAATGTTGACAAGTCGTATACGTTTTCGTTTCAAATGTCGACACGATGTAATAATGCGTACAATGTGTGATTTCAGGATGACCTGACCAAGGATCAAATTGCTCGTGAGTTATTCACTTTTCGCTGGTTTATTCTACAGTTAAAATGATTGATTGACCAGCAATATATAATTATTATTTCTTGTCAGTCCTGAAGAAGGCTTTCGATGCCTTCGACCACGACAAAAAGGGTAGCATCGGTACCGACATGGTGGGCACGATATTGACCATGTTGGGCTACGAGCTGAGCGAGAAAACGTTGAAAGAAATCATCACGGAAGTGGACGAAGATGGTAAGAAAAATCTAGCATCTAACAAGTTTCTGATTACTAAACTTAAACAGAACCAATTAACAGATACCATATACATCAATTAGACAAAGAATACCTTCAGCTTTGATACGATAATGCAACAATATCAGGCCACGTGAAACCTTCTTTGTACATTATCACGGAAATAGACGAAAATGGTAAAGAAAATTCATGGCTATATCCGCATTCGTTTCGATAATTTTTCAACTTCCGAATACATATACCGATGGTTAAAAAAAAAAGGAGCTCGAAAGATAGAAAACACGAATAAACGTAAAATCTACACTTCAGAGTAGATTACTGTCACTAAAATTGTAAAAAATATAATATTCAGATTAGCAAACATTCCTCGCCAAACATTTCTGTCCAAGATCCATGGTTAATGCGAAAGCCTAACAGAATCCATGCTTGTTCCTTGTCGCGTTTCTGCATATATATGATGATCCAACAACATGTCACGTCAAATTTTTCATCATCGTCCTGTCACAGGATCCGGCCAACTGGAATTCGAAGAGTTCTGCACTCTGGCTGCCAGATTCTTAGTGGAGGAGGACACGGAAGCGATGCAGCAGGAGTTACGCGAGGCATTCCGGTTATATGACAAAGAAGGGAACGGATACATAACAACCGAGGTGTTCCGCGACATTCTTCACGAGCTGGACGACAAACTGACGCCACAGGAATTGGACATGATGATCGAGGAGATCGACGCTGACGGCTCAGGAACGCTCGACTTCGACGGTACGGCGATCACACCGTAAAAATTACAATTCTCACAAGCATCAAGCTTTGATAGCTCTTCAAACCAATCAAATTACGAACTTGGTGAACTTGGTTGCATCGTGCCAAGAAAAGTTAAAGCGTGAAGTAGTGTTGCACGCTGAGGAAATTACAGGGAACTGCTTGCAACGTCGTTTGCCAAGAATCCATCAGTCCGTTTGATTAATTAAACGCTTGTCGTCTATCGGGTTCGAGCGTTTTCACCCGGGGCCGGAACAAACGAAACATTTCTATTTACCGAGAATTTCACGCCTCCGATATGATACATACATACATTACGCTATTGCGCGCGGAGTTTGCAACTCCGTCATGAGTTATGTCATAGACCTTCGCCACGCTGCCGCGTTTCGACGCGATTGCACATTGCCGGCACGTGATCACTCATGAATTCTAATTTCCCATTTCAGAGTTTATGGAAGTTATGACCGGTGGTGACGACTAGATTACACGGTGGGACTAATTAGGACGGACAGCGGCTACGATTAAGCGCGACAACGATTGGCACGAACGACTGGCCTCGCACCTGGATACCAGAGGCATGGGATTTCGATTGGTCGACTGGTCGACGGCTACGCCTGGTTTAGAACTGGAAACCGTTTCCGATTCCCATTTCCAATCGATCGTACCATCAACGTCGAATTACACCGGAGTCGTAAGGTCATATTGCGAACGCAACAAAAGAGAACGAAACGTTCAATAAAAATTCCCAGAATGAAAAAGAAAAGACTCTCCTTGATTACAACTGATCGAGTGGAAATGCCACAGTTGTTAAACTGCGATACTCTTGTAACCCTAAAACTACGTGGCCAGAAGTTTACGAGGCTTTTGATACGAGCCCGATTTATCGCACTCGCGGTTTCGTTTGCTCGTATCGATTTTGACGCCTAAACAGCTGCAACTGGGTCCTCACTCGAGGCGCACGTTCGAAAGTATTCGCGGGGCAGCGACGTCAGAGAGAACGACAGAGAAACCTCGAGAGGAAACCTCATAAGCTCGTCAATATTTTTATTTGACACGTGGCTAGTATGTTAACATATACTTCTATCGAGATGGAATGTAAATTGTCGTCGAGGAATCCTGTATCCAAGGAATAAACGTTTACTTTTTTGTATACAAAGAATCGTGTTCTTGTCACACACTCAGTTCTGCGTGCCTTTTCGTTCAAGTATTTTCACTTTCCACCGGACATCGAAATCGGTTTATTCAGGTGTGGTAACACCGCTGGTAATTATGAATTCAACGGTAAGCGACAATTAAGGAAACAGATTTTGAACGTTAGCGGAGATTAACGAACGCCAACGTTCCTGGCAGCTATCCATTTAGATCGCGTCTACAAGCGCAAATTTAATTTTCCGTTCACTCTCACGAAAAGTGCACGCCTATCCTAACCTAACCTGATATATATCGACAAATTCTCGCTCGTTCCCGAGTCATTTCTACATTTTCTTGTCCAAGTACGTCTATTTACTCTTACACTCCATTTTTTGCTCAACGCCTAGGCCGACTTTCTATCCAAGCTGTCACTAGTTATCTTAACTTTTTGCATTGTTACACGTGAATAATTTATATTTAGCAGTCTTAAATTTAAAAAATTGAAATTCAAAATTCGACGTCAAATTCTGTAAGATTACAGAAATTTGCTTTACACCGCGAGCTGTGTTTGCAAGACAAATGGATAGATGACGACAGTCTCGAGTACAAAGCAGAGACTGTTTGTCTATCTATATCGACCGTCTCGTTACAAGAATAATTTTAATAGCTTTTCTGCAACGGAGTGACAGCTTCAAAATATATCGTCAACGTGAAAATTATGTCAGCGACAGAAGCGTGAAATTAGACGCTTCCTAAATTAATCGGGATCATCACGTCGCGTAATTTAAGATCGGGAAACTTTATCACGAAGTTAATGTACTGTACATCCGAATGCAACGGCCAAATTTCTAAATGTCACGAGCCTGCCACATGTATTCGCGCATGATTGAATTCGCGTGATCCGTTTCGAGCACCGGGCCGAGATTCGGCGACTGGTTTATCGGTGCAATAAATCTGCTACGATACAGAATTTAGGAGAGAATAATATAGCTTTCAACAGAGTCATCGTTTTGAATTTGGATTCGGTCGGATTATTTATTTTCTTGCAATTTAGTGGAGTGCTATGGCTGTCTGCTTGCTTTCTCTAAGTTTTTTGTAGAGCCGGAAATTTTAAATGCTGACCAGTTACTGCTTACGGTGAAATTTTAAATGTTAAACATTTATGAAAATTTTAATTTGTTTTTTTTTCTAAATTTCAACAATTAATAGTGTCATTTAATCGAGGGGTCCAATGCGAGAGGGGTCCAAGCTATCCTATGTGATGTGAAATATCAAAATTCTTATGAAACAACAGTGTTGCAATAGAAATTTCGTAATTCGTAAGACTTCATCTTAATTTATTTATAAATCATGGAATACCAAGAGGTGCTTTGGAATTAATAAAACTCTTATATTAACCTTTAATTGTTATAATTAGAAATTAAAGTAATAATAATGATATTAGAATCAATTTTCTTACGACTAAATACTCTCGAGCTCTGCAAAACGTTTCGAAAGAGAAACCAACAATAATCGTAAACAATGGGATCACTGTTCTATCGTTAGTTCTCGATTAATGTCAAATCACCGGGAATCCTGTTCGACGTTCGAGGCTTTAGTATAGAATTTCCTGTCGGAGATTGAAAGAGGCAATCGCGAGCAGCTGTCGGTGAACGGGAATCGGACCGACAGAAGTCATACCAAATCAGGCATCTGAAATGTCCAGAGATGTCATTATCCCGGCAACTCCCACGTTGCCGTGGTAATCGGTTTCCAGTGAAAATGGTTAGTCCACTCACTCAATAATGTTTCCCTCGGTGTGCATACACGGTGCTACTATTGTACCACGGGATGAGATTATCATAAACACAAACGAGCCGACAAATTTCGAAACACCGAGTGATGGATCTCATCGTAAACTGTGACACTTTATACACAAACCGTGTTCTTTGATTTCGAAATAGCCAAAGTTGATTCTTTCATGTACGGAATGAGGGCCGTGAATCGGTTAAATTGAATTTGAATTAAAATCAACTGATTTCCTAATTTTGGCGTCGCCGTGTAATTAAACGGGAGAGTTTCAATGTAATGTAACTGAAAGCGAGACATAAAAATGTGTAGCGAGAAAATGGTTGATGAAGTTTTGTGAAAATCAATTATTAGTGTCGAGTAATAATTTTAAAATTCTGAGGAAGACGAAGAGAAAGATATTTAACTCAAAAACTAATTAAGCCAGTTTTAATTAACCGCACGCTGAATTTTAATGTTGCCTTGCAAAATATAAGAAACGCGATTTACTGCCTTCTCTTGTAATTTTCGATCGAGTTAAAATTTATTTCGCATATAAACTGAACTATGTTTTTAAACGAAATTACAATCAAGTAAAGAAGTAAAGCAAACGACTTTAAAGGAAAAGGGAAATATTCATAATTAATAACCGATAGCGCCAATTGTAATAAAGAAAACCCAACGATACAGTAAATAATCGGCAGCAAACTAGTAGTTGGACTTCGTTTAATCTCGAGATTAAATGAAATGTATAACCAGCCTCGATTTTCCGTTGGAAAATTACCACTTGCTATGCCACGCGTCTGCGTAATATTAACTCCTTACTTCAGACCCGTTTTATTCGATAATTTCGATAACGTATACGCGATTCGTGGCATTTTCAATGGAAGAAACTGTGCCTTTCACTGGTCAAGCTCAGTCGTGTGGTACCGGCGCGTTTGTACCAACTAAAATCTACATTGTACATAGAAACATATCTAGTAATACGGAAAGAAACATATCTAGTAATCGGGGAAAGAGTAATACTAATTATGTAGAATGCGAAGATCATTACATAGAACCGTTCATACACTTAAGATAGCGTAAAATTAAAAATCCAGATCGCGTGGAATTGAAACTACATTCCGGAAACAAAAAACCGTGACTTTATGTAGTTCGACGATTTTGCGTCATTGAATAATTGCAATTGAGTATCATATCTTGTCAGAAGTAGATAAGCATAAAGTTAAAATTCAATCGTGCTTCAATTATATATCATGTAGACCAGTTAGGTAATGCAAATTAAATAACACTTTTAGTGTTCTATTCGGCTCGACATGGTTGATTAGAAACAAACGAGCGTTTTTTGAATTAATAAATCCAAATAAAATTAATTAGAATAATAAATAAATTATAAATTGATATGAAACCGTGGACGTGAATGATGAATGATAGACTAATGGATTTCTAACGTTCTTACTTGAATTCTTGATTACAGTATAATTAATACTGTAAGATTAAGTGAGACGAATTGGTCGAAACATCATTCCGTAATGAAAATTTATTTAACTGTAAGAATTTTTCATTGGTTGATATTGTTGACTAATATTGACAAAAGAGAAGTCACATTCTTGAACAAAGACACAAATTAATTTAAGAATCAATCAAATTCAACTCTTCTAGTTGTATTCGTGTGTGAAATTTTTAAAATTTTACATTCTTTCATTTTGACACGTTCGTATATATAATAATTAAATTTTACTCAAAGTTCTGATAAGTATAATTGTAACAATATCATTCTAGTCTGGATAATAATGAAACATATTTAGTGTCGATAAAAACCGACATGTTCGTGAAAGCGTGCAAATGTAATACGCTTATCAAAATTTGATTACCTTCTGATCTCAAAGATATTCTCATTTTGTGAAAGTTGGCATGATCATTGTGCATGAAATACCTAGCCGTGGTTTTTCACTACTGTAAGACAAACCGATTAATTCGCTGAACAACTGGATGAATTCCTTCCACTTGTCACTGTAATACAATAAACCGGAATCGTAACGAACGTCCTGGAAAACCCTTGTGAGAAAATCGCGTTGCGTTTATGAGAAGAACGCAACATCGTGGTAAAAATTTTAATTAGCATCGCAAGAAATCCAGGTGTATCGCGGCTTCTTATCGAGATTTTGATTGATCCACTTGATAAACAAGATTCACAACCGGTTCCACTTCGTCTGATACAAAACAAATGTTCTTTCACTCGAGATCCTCCTTTCGATAGGTTCGTCTACCGATCAGGCGCGATAATTACACGTTTCGAACGAAAATATCCAGAAGCCTAGCCTAATGAGATTCGTGATTTTGTTGGGAAACTAATCGATATCGGTATCGAGAGAGTTTCATCCGAAACGAATTGATTCGTCAATTTTCTTCGCTTCTAATATTCATTCAGAAATTGTACGTGTAATGTGAGGTAAATAATTAGACTATCAAACAGTAAAACAAAGTTGCAAGAGCAACTTACGTCACATTATTCTTATTAACATTTAATCAACAGACCACTACGAGTAAGACATTTGCAACACCATCGGATATTTTAATATTAGATTAAACGAAATGGAAAGAAACTTTCCCCGGTGATCGTGTATTAAATCAATCGATTAACTCCTGTAAAAGTTCAAATTGCTACATCCACAATTTCGTCTTAGAAAAGTCGACGATTGCTTCCGGGAAATCATCTCTGTGGAAATTACGAGTCAATTAGAAGATTAATCCGATCTCTAGTCGTGGGATCTTGATGTCATGAGATCTAGAGTGACCCGCGAGACCTCGGACGTCATGATTCACGACTCGTAGTGGTTCAGACGCCATGATTCGTGAT